TGTCCCTGTGCAAAATCAAACACTGACAAATAAGAGAGCACGAGACTGTATGATTTCTAGAGATGATCTAGGACAATTTGTTCAGCAGAGTGATGTAAGCTTCGTTATGATTGCATCATCCATGACTTCTAGGAATAACATGATGCAATTCATATCATGTATGACACAATACCAGCTTCAGATTGCATCATTCATTGTTTTGCCTAAAAAGCAAGTACTGTCCAAACCCAGTCATTTTGGCTGCAGAGCAGTGTAATTGGGCTTCTTTTTGATATTTAACAAAGTCATGGAAGATTGTCATTTTTTCTGCTTATGTTTTACATTAGAAATTCATGTCGTCTTGACTGGAGAATTCTAAGAGTGGAGAAATAGTGATGTGATGGCATCACAAGATTAAAAACACCTAACTTCAATAACTAATGAATGATTTAGAGAAAGGAAGTCTGTTACCGATTCTCATATTCATTGAAAACATAGGAATGCTGAGCTACTTTTAGAAAGCTAGGAGCTCCTCTAGCAAAACCAGGGAAAGCTAGACTTAATTTTCCAAATATTTATAAGGGATGGGGAGAGCAAGAAAAAAAACCACTAAGCCCTCTTTATGCAACTTTTAAAAGACTACCAGTATAATATTTTTAAAAACTGTTTTGCAGATCACCTTAAAAACAAATGTATTTTTGATCTACACTGGAATTCTGACCAGTCTAGGTCTTCCTCTTCTCACTGCACTAAAGTGAGCATTCAACTCACATTTCCCACAGCATAGAAATAGTGTAATATTCCAAATATGCTTTAAGCAATAAACCTCAAGCTCAAATATCATGCTCTAGTACTCTCAAGTTGCTCGAGAACGCTCATGGACTTGTGTCAATTCAGCTTTATCCCTTATTATTCATTAGCAGATATGAAATTTACTGAGCATGACCCCTCCATAACCTCAATACATAAAATAACTTGTTTAAAACAGTCCTACGGGCTGCACTTTTCAGAGCCTTGGTATGTAGTTTATGTTCTGCTCTCCACCTGGAAATGAGAGCACATCACCCCAAGTCCTCACATCTTCATTGGTGTCCTGTTCATTTTAAGGATGCTAGGTTGCACAGATCAGAACCAGAGGTAGGGTGTGTATACAGAGGCAGATCAAAGCTAACTTGCACTCTTGTATATTTGAGCAACAGAGGAGCTCTTTTCCTCACCTCTCCCTCCCATGATATCATCACAGAAGCTTCAAAAAATTTCAGAGAACCATTATCCCCCAAACACACACACACACACACAGAAATTCTGACCGTTGATTTTAATGTTTGGAAAGACTATCA